GGAGGGAGGGGATGCGGGTGGGAAGGGATGCCGGTGGGAGGGGGGGGCCGGCCCTAACGGCCGCCGCCGTCGTGCCGCAGGTGGTGATCCGCCGGCTGCCGCCCAGCCTGACGAAGGAGCAGCTGGAGGAGCACCTCCAGCCCCTGCCCGAGCACGACTACTTCGAGTTCTTCGCCAACGACTCCAGGTACGGCCGCCGGACCCTCACCCCCAGGCACCGCCCCGGCCGGCTCCCGAGAGCCGCCGGTGTGGCCCGCCGGGCCCGCAGAGCCGCGCCGCCGCCACCGAAGTCATCCTTGGTCTCTGGGTCTTGTCTTTCTGCAGCTTGTACCCTCACATGTTCTCGAGAGCCTACATCAACTTTAAAAACCAGGAAGACATAGTCCTCTTCAGGGATCGCTTTGACGGCTATGTTTTTGTCGATCACAAAGGCAAGTGAAGGGCGCTCGGCTCTGTTCGCATCTTTCCCAGTGTGCGTGCAGCGGGCTGGTTGAATTTGAGAGGGGTGGGTGTCAGCAGCCTAACGTGCCCCTTCAGGTTTGTTTGGGTTTAGTGCCTTAAATGAATGTCACGCAGCATTTCACAGAACAAAGAAAATGTCTTGCGCTTTGCGGAAACTAATCTAAATTGGTTTTGTATATTATGTGTAAAACCCAGTTAAGTGTACATCAAGGTAGTAGCAGTATCAATATAAAACCAGTTGCCACGTTACTGAGGTTAGTACTTGCATTGTCATACCCGAGTATAAAGTCTGAAAAGCGAAAGTGGGTAGGTGGTGTCGCTGTCCAAACTAAACGAAGCTGAGGTCAACGATGCCGCCCTCTGCTACTGCCCTCACCTGTTCTGTATGCTTCTAACAGCAGGACTTATTTTTTGTCAGTTTTTAATTCAGTTTATTACTTGTTCCAATGTACAACTGAGTGAGTCATCTTGATTCGGTAAAAGGAGCAGCTTCTTCCTTGCAGTCTAAGATGTGAAAGTGACTGCTCTCTGGAGACATTAATCTGTAGGAAACAAATATTTTGTTTAATTCATTGGTTAAACATCCAAGTATTTAGTCGCCACTTACCTTTTTTCTAAATACATGTTAGGTATTCGGTACATCTCACGTTTTTAAATTTTGCATTTCAAAACTGTTTACATTGGGTAACACTGGAAGTTGTTAGTCTCATTGATAGACCTGAAATTTACACATTTAGCAAAAGCTTTAACAAGAATCTTCTTGTTGGCTTCAGTAGGTTAAGGATTTCACCTTGAACTTTATTGCAAGTCCGTGTTTTACGCTTCATCCAGCCAGGTGTTTTATGTGACACACAGCTCTGTCCACAAGATTCTTCCTTATTTAGGAGGGTTGCACGATGAGGCTCTAAAACACCTAGATCTTTTAAGTAAGCTGGTTTGCAGTGTAACAGCACGCTATATTTGCCATACCCAACAGCAACATTGGATTTATGCAGCCATAAATGTAGCATTCTTGTCAGAAGATAAAACTTTAAAGCTTGCTTGTAATGTGTTGCATTCTGTTGTATTTTGCCAAAAATTGAGACTTGCCTCGGTTGCATTAGCTTAAAATATTCCCTTCTACTTGCGCAGTGAATGCACAGTCTGTAGGATGAGGATATTACATGGTGCAGTGTAGCTGAGGTGGCTGAACTGACAGTTATGGGCAGTCTTAAAGCTAGCATTTCCTTCTTGTTGTGAGTCTGTGAATTTCCTGTTTTGTTAACATAGTGAGAGTGTTTAGTTTGTGAATTCTGCTGTCTCTAAAATTTTTTTTTCATTAAATGGCTTTCAAAATACAAGAGGTTTTTTTATGCTGTCTCTTCTAGTATTGCATATTTCTTCTGAGGCTTATCTTCCTGCTTTAGACACGGTCAATATACTCTATTTTAATGTATCTTTCCCTCTCCTCTTAACAGGTCAGGAATATGCTGCCATAGTTGAGTTTGCACCTTTCCAAAAAGCTGCAAAAAAGAAGAGTAAGAAAAAGGATGCCAAAACTGGAACTATCGAAGATGGTATAGCAGCTAGCTAGTTTGTTTTGCATGTGTAGACTTGAAAGTCCTAGCAATAATTTGAATATAATATTTTTGCTGTGTGTCGTGGTTTAACCCCAGCCAGCAACTAAGCACCACGCAGCCGCTCACTCACTCCCCCCCCATCCAGTGAGATGGGAGAGAAAATCAGGAAAAGAAGTAAAACTCCTGGGTTGAGATAAGAACGATTTAATAGAACAGAAAAGAAGAAACTAATAATGATAATGATAACACTAATAAAATGACAACAGTAGTAATAAAGGATTGAAATGTACAAATGATGCGCAGGGCAACTGCTCACCACCCACTGACCGACACCCAGCCAGTCCCCGAGCGGTGATTCCCTGCCCCCCCACTTCCCAGTTCCTAAACCAGATGGGACATCACATGGTATGGAATACACTGTTGGCCAGTTTGGGTCAGGTGCCCTGGCTGGGCATGAGAAGCTGAAAAATCCTTGACTCTAGTCTAAACACTACTGAGCAACAACTGAAAACATCAGTGTTATCAACATTCTTCACATACTGAACTCAAAACATAGCACTGTACCAGCTACTAGGAAGACAGTTAACTACATCCCAGCTGAAACCAGGACACTGTGACACTGTAGCTTATCAGTAGAATGTTTGCTTAATTATATGGGAAGCTTGTTAGCACTGCTTTGTCAGCTGCAAATCTACTAAATATGATTGTCCTGAACAAACATAATGCAGCAGCTCATTTGAGAGCTGCCAGCTTATGAAAAGGTGACATATAAACAACACAATTTATGCAAATCTAACCCAGAATTCCAGCAGTGCGCAATGCAGATTCTTTTCATGCTACAGTGTATTTTTTTTTCTTTTTTTTTTATTTTTTTCTTCCCCTTTCCCCTCCCCTGTAGATCCAGAGTACAAGAAGTTTTTGGAAAGTTACAGTGCAGATGATGAAAAATTAACCTCCACTCCTGAAACTTTGCTGGAGGAAATAGAGGCAAGAAACAAAGAGCTAATAGGTATGGAAATCTATGCACTATAGTTACCTTTTCCTAGAGCACAAAGAAATGTATGTGGTGTAATTTGAAGCTGTGATTCCTCAGCCTTGAGGAGACTGAATTCTTTTGTGTGCTTGCTTGGTGTTTGTTAAGCCTTTAGGCTAATATTGTTCAGTGTATTTTATTTTGCTCCCATGCTCTAAATTCTTTTCTAGGTTTAAGTTTCATGTGATAACCTTCCTTCGTGTTTTAAGCTGCTCGTCAGATGTTTGTTAGCCAGACTAGGCTGTGGAGTGGCTGCCTTTCAGCGAGATGCAGTGATGTTTAATGTTAAATGCTGTGACCAGTGATGTTCTGTGCAGGCACGAGTTAAGAGATAGTGTGGTCGGGTAAAATACCACAAAAATGACCAGAATGCTCCTTTTAAGTGTGTTACAGGTATCTCTTTCAAAGCAAGAGAATCTGGGAAAAGCCTAATGCAGACCGAATATCCCTTTACAGGCAGGTGTACTGGATTATCGTATTAGTGTCCTAAAGAAGTTTATAGGATCCTAATAGTTGCCACTGTTCAGGGATAGGATTGGAATACTTGTTTCACTGCTGTATTGCTGTATGTGAGAGGAGATAGGCTGGATCATTCATAAGGCTCCTTCATTTCATAAAGGGTCTTGTAGGTATTGCAGTATTGGATAAGGCAAATTGTTTACATTTGTTTTATATATTCTCTAGCTAAAAAGACTACTCCTTTATTGAACTTCTTGAAAAATAAACAGGTAAGACTTATCTCAAGAATCTTCTTGTTGCTTGCATGTACAATTTGCTCATTTAAAGCATGGGTGTGTATTTTGCTACGCATATACTGATATGTTTCTGCCCTCCTGAAGAAGCAGCTTCTGACCCAACTTACTTGTTAACATGTGGTTCACGTACTTTAAACTACTAGAATGCTGGCCTTTGTAGGAATGTTGGTGCTCTGTGTGCATTCTGGTCACAGCTAAATGTCTCTTGTGGCACTGCCAAACCAGATTCCATTTTAATGCTTCATTTTTAATGCAGTTATGGCTGAGGTCCTTGTAGATGATCTTTCTCCTAGCACACAATCTCATTTTAACTTTTAGTGATGGAGAAAACCACAGATGGGGCAAATTTAATTAAAATTAGAGTGATAAAGGCTGAGGCTAGTGTTGTGTTTGGTTTTCTTAAGACAGTACAAATCAAGGCTTATGAGCGAGATTTCAAAAAAAGAAATGCTGCTGTAACACGTTCAGGTTCACAACGGAACAATAGAGACGACAGGACTTTTATAATAGGGGTGGTTTTGTGGTGAGTTATTTGGTGATGAAATACTCTATCACTTTGTGGCAGGGTATCGTGTTAGGCTTAAGGGGATGTTTTCTAGTGTAGAAATACACTATTTCTCTTTGCTTTTACACACACAGAGACTGAGAGAAGAAAAAAGAGAGGAGAGGAGGAGGAGAGAATTGGAAAGAAAAAGACAAAGAGAAGAAGAAAGAAGAAAATGGAAAGAGGAGGAGAGAAGGAAGAGAAAAGAAGCAGAAAAACTGAAGAAGGTAGACAGATGCCCAGAAAAAGAAAGAGACAGATCAAAAGAAGAACCAAAGATTAAGGTCTAGAACAGTTCTTTATTATAAACTGTTACGCTCCCTTTCCCCTATTATTTGTATATCAGTCTCTCAAAATGTGCTCTGAGTATTGTGTGAAGAATCACATGAGTTTGGTGTTAGTAAATTACCACTCTTTTGTAATATTCAATATTAGGCATTGTAAAGGTTTACATGCTGTAATGCTTCATAGTAATATTTAAAGCTTTTGTCATGTGACTGTTGTACATGTTGTGCTAAACAGAATTGTGAATTCACTATGGAATGGAGACTATTTTTAAGCTTTCTAAAATGGCCTGTTTTAGGAGAAAAATCCTAGTCAGCCGTATGGCTTATGCTTACTCATACACTCCAGCTTTTAGAAGTACTACGATTTGCAGTAATATTACTTTAATGCTTGTTTCTTACTGGACTACAGTTCCTTTGATGCAATTTCGGTGTTGTGCCAGACAATATGTATTAGAGTGAGCTTTTTAGTTGAGACTTCTGTTTTCTTTGTAGCTACTTAAGAAGCCTGAAAAAGATGAAAAAGACTTGGAGAGAAAAGAAAAATCCAAGAAACTGGAAAAAGAGACTCTGAGGGAGGAAAAAAATGCGAGTAGTGCATCTGCCAAACGATCTGATGGGGAGACAAAAGAAGAGAAGGCAAAAAAGTATTCTAGTACTTGCTATAAATATATATATGTATATATAACTTGTTTCCTGATCGTACCAAGGCTTAGGCTGCTCTGCCATGACCATGCTTTGAAATTTCTTTCAAATTATTTTTCTGATACAAGGCATGGGATGTGTTCTCTGTGGCAACACGCATCCCTGTGAGTACAGAAAGCTGTGTGAATTACCTGGCAAGTCTTCACTAGTGGACAAATTTTAATATTTTTGCAACTCGCTGTAGGAATTCTGCAAAAGAAGCCCAGGTGTAGGTGACTGCAACAGGTTGTGAGCACTGTCCTTGCAATGAGAGAATTACAACCATGGCAAGAGGAGAGGTGTACTCCAGTTGACTAGTCCCTTTAAGTCTTGTAAAAGGTCAAAGCGGAAAGCATAATTCTCAACAGCTCTGTGATCTGTTCAAGATTCAGTTCTGCCATGTGAGAAATGAGACGAGACAGAGAAATTCAGGTGTTTTCCAAAGCCAGAGGAGACTCAGCCAGCTATGCAAGTAGAAGGCTAGGAAATGCTAGCAGTCAGTGTCATCTCTGGTTATCATGCATGACTCAGGTTATCACAGCTTCCCAAAAGCTCCCTAGAACCTACCAATGTGTCGTCTTCGTATTGCAAATTTACGCCAGTATTACATTGATCTCCCAGCTCTGTTTGATGAATCGTTTGAGCTTAATTTTCAGTTTTGTTTTCATACAGATCAGAAGATGAGTGTGTAAAGGACTACAGGGACCGAGATAGAGATTTTGAAAGATACAGAGAATATGAGAGAGCACAGAGGGAGAAACTGAGACGCCAAGAAGAGGAGCGTCGGAGGCAGAAAGAGCGCTTTGATAAAGAGAAGGTTTTTAGAAGAAAAGAGGAAGAGGTGAAAAAGGAGAGAGACTTACTCAGAGAAAAGGGAAAGAAAAGTGATCTTACAGACTTTACCAGCAGCATGGACAAATCTGAGAAAGTAACCAAAGACGATAAAAAAGAGGATACAATTAAGAGGGATCGTATCAGAAATAAGGTGCTGGATTTCTTTAAATTAATATGTTGATTCATAGGGACCAGTTTGTGGGGTTTAGGATAAAAGCACTTCAAGGAAAGAATCATGTGGTTTCTCTGTTGAAACTTCTTCCTGTTCTGGTAACATCGTTAGAAAGTTTGCCCGTTTGTCCACTAAACTTTGCTAAACTGTTTGTGATATTTCTTGTCACTGTATAGGAGTTAAGCCAAGATACCATGGGCCAAATTGTAAAGACACTGATCCCTTTTCATTTGCTGACTTATGCCATAGGCTGTATCTTTAAGGTGTTGGTAGAGCATCAGTAATCTACCTGTATCTCTGCTGATGCTATACATGCCTGAAAATACATCTCAAAATGGGAGTGTGATTGAACAGGTTCCTCCAAAACAGGGACAAGACTGCTACATGCAGAATATGACATCTCCTGTAGACTCAAGAAATGATGTCTTGAGTTTAGTTTTATACACTCTGCAAATATCCCTTTGCAGCGTCAGTGTGCAAGTTTTCCATGTCACCTAAGTCATTATCATGTACAAATGAAACTCAAGGTTTTGAAGAAGCTTCAAAGTTGGCCTCTATTCTGAGAGAGGGTCAGCTGTACCCGTCTCGAGAGGAAAGTCTTTACAAATAACTTCAACTATGTGCAGTGTTCTTTGAGGCTTGAACAGGGATGTAGCCTTACAACAGAGACAACCTCGATTTGAGACAGTTGACATTACATTGCCACCGTGGTGGAATAATTTAACTTAGAACACCTTGAAAAGTTTGAATTTGAGCCATTTCTAATATCACTGATGCCATAATAACCATGATAGCATGGGGCTATGAAAGAGTCTAAATAGTTTTGATTTATTTCAGGATCGTCCAGCAATGCAGCTGTACCAGCCAGGAGCCCGAAGCCGAAGCAGATTGTGTCAGTATGAAGACAGTGCTGCGAAGCCCACAGATCAGGGAGCGGATAAGAAACAAGAGAGTGAGACGAGTAATATGAAGGAAGAGGAGTGACTAGCATGCAAGCCTTATGTGTTCTGACTGTCTGTGCAGCCAAAGAGCATGTACTACGCAATCCAGAAGTGCCTTCGAAGCGAAGAAGGAACAAAGGAAGAAAAGGGGGCATTGTGCTGTTGGATGTTTCTGGTTAAAGAACCTCAGCTGTAGATTCGGAATTTGAAATGTGTTCTCATTGTCTTTTCAGTTATTTGAATTTATTTTCCCAGCATCTAACTACAACAGAGAAGAGAATCTTTGCAAAGTAGAAAGACTTTATGGCCTTAAGTATGATAACGAGTCATGTGGTCAGGAGGAGATGACACCTGGATCTAAAGCCAGAGCTTTACAGCTTTACTGTGTGTTTGATGCACTTAAGCAGAGCGAGCTTGAAGTTGCCCGGAGCCAACACAGGTGTTGCTGTGTTGTGTGGCGCTCCGACCTGAGGCAGCGATAGCTAAATTATCTCAGTCTAGCACTGAGACAGGTACGCAGGCTGGGCTTGTTGAGGTACCAGTGAATGGGAGCCCTCTGGCATGTAAAGAGGAGAACATCTGGCATTGCAGTAATAATGTTAGGGAGGGAGAGACCTTCCTCCTTAGCGGGTCTCTGGATAAAGTAACTAAGTTGGAGTGTATGAATAAGCTGGCTTAATATTGGAATACTTCTTGACAAATTCTCGTGTAAAGTCTACCTACGTTGAAACGCTTACTCTTAATCAAATGTAGCTGGTTTGAGCATCCTGTTCTTTTCCAGCATTCTCCCTTCTCGAGTGTCTGAAACGTTTCCTAACTCCTGCCCTCTCCGTACCGCTTCATCCTCCATCATAACTTGAAGTATTGTTTTACAGCCCAGAAAGAGACTTCACCAGTAGCAGCTCCTCCTCAGCTAGCGAATTTTAGCCATAGCGATTTTGTACTAAAACCAATAAACTCGCAGAAACTCGTGCCGCCGCCGTCCCTCACTCAGCTCGGTCTGCGCCGCGGCGGGTCCGCCGGGCCGCTAGGGGGCGCCGTGGCCGCGGAGCCCGCGCCGCCCCC